CGGCCAGATATCAACGTGTGATCCCCTAAGCCCTAACTCCTAAACCCTAAACCCAAAACCCTTAAACCCTAACCCCTACACTCCTAAACCCCCTAAGGAACCCTTAAACCCTAAACCCCCTAAACCCTTAAGCCCTAAACCCTTAGGCTTCACAGCTTAGGAGGTCCCCTGGAAGGGGAACTTCCAGAATCGACTCGGCTCTTCACAATCCTGGAGGCTAGCTTGACCCTCGCCTGGGGCGAGGCACCTTGGGCTCTCTTAAGGTTAGGGTTATAGGGTTTAAGGTTTCAGGGTTCAGGGTTTAAGGTTTAGGGGCGGAGGGTTTAGGGGTTTAGGGCGTAGGAGGGCAACTTGGGATCTCGGGAAGATCTTTTAGGGCTCCGGGTTTTGGTGGGTTTTGATACGGTGGCGCACCCTTTTTCGGGCCATTTTAGGGAGCGGCTGTTGGCGATTGTTGCAAGTAATTTTCGATCAAAGTCTCATTCTTGTCGAAGCGAAGCCGGCAGGCTGTGGCTGGGGAAGGCTTAGGCATGAAGCGTGTTGCTGTGCAAATCAGCGAGGGCAATAACGAGTGGTGTACAGCTTGTGAAGACACGTTTGCATCAGTAGTACTCTCACTCAAGCATAACGCACAGTACCATCAACAGCTGCCGCCGCAAGAATCGTACCAATGCTCACTGCCTTCAACACCGCAATCATTGCCGTCGTTTCCATCGTCCACACCACGACTCTCATCTTCATCCACCCACCCATCCTCCACCACCATCGCATCATGGTTTTCAGGTTTTGCATTTCTCAAGCCAGCAGACTTGAGCTTTCAGCATGTTCCTGCAGGTTTTTCAATCGGAGACAAGTTGCACTTTCCAAGCTCAACCACGAAGCATAACCTACTACCGGTAAAAGCCAAAGAGTAGTGAAGTGGCCTTGCAGCTTGAAAGTATCCTCAAATCTTCCGAATTGGATGGTTGAGTGCCTTAGACTGGGGAAGGGTGGTCTACTCCTTGTTATATACCTTAGATACTGTGAACAAGGGTAATTTTGGTCTAGTCCGTTGGGTTGGATTGTGCAGAAGTGTCCAACATCAGTTAAATCCGCGCCAGAAGCCCCACACTTCAAGGTCCAAGAGCGCACGACAGATCCTGAATAGTAGGACCAATATAACAAGCACCTCCACAGAGGGAACGAGAAATTTCTCAGAACGCCCCATATACATCCCTAAATCCTAAACCCAACCCGCAAAACCCTAGACTTCATAAAGCGCTGAGCTCCAAATCCTAAACCCAGGACGACTTGCCGCTGCAGCGGCTTGTCTGGTGCTTGCCTTGGGCTGAAGGTCTGCATACCTGGCCAGGCAGAAGTGCTGTGAATAGGGTTTAGGGTTTACGATATAGGGTTTAGGTTTTAGGCGTCGGCGTAGGGGTTTAGGAGTTCGGGTTCTTTTTTGTTTTAAGCGCTCCTTTTTCGGTCCGCCGAGGCCTCCCGATGAATCTAGGCTTGGGGTTCTGGGTTTGTATGGGGGACTTGGGTCGTCAGGGTTTAAAATATTCAGGGATCAAGGTGTGTAGGACCCCTAAACCCTAAAGCCTACACCCTAAACCCTTCTGAATCCCAAAGCCTGCACCCTAAATCCTTATGAATCAAAAACCCTAAACTCCTAAACCCCAAATCCTACACCCTAAACCCTTATGAATCAAACACCCTAAACTCCTAAACCCTAAAACCTGCACCCCAAACCCTCATGTATCATAAACCCTAAACTCCTGCAACATCAACGACGAAGCCACCACTCTTCAACCCCAATTAACTAGATCTGCTGCGTTTCTTGCTCCAGAATGTAGGGCATGTAGGGATCAAAGGGCTTACTTTGAGTGTTAGGGCATGTCCGTCCCAGCCGGGTTGGTGCACCGCACCTGTACTTTTACGTTGCTACGAACTTCAGGTTAATACCGCAGGATTGCAGACTGCCTAACAGCTGTTGCCCGAATATGCTTGCGCACTATTGCGAAGCACCCAAATCCCCATTGCTGCCCTCGTTGCGAGACACCCGTTTTTGCTTCCTGCCTCCTTTGAAGGAGTGAGGCTGAAACAACTAGCAGTCCCGAAACTCGAAACCTCTGAGCTTTCAATGCTGTTGCGCCTGAACCCCTGAAGACTTTCTGCCCACAATTTAGAACCCCACAAACCCCTTTCGCCCGACACCCTAAAGGCCCTAAAGCCCAAAAAAGCCAAAAAACCCTTAAAGGCCCTAAACCCTAAAGAAGGCTCCACTATGCTTCACCCTAAGCCTTCACTCCAAGATAAACCGCAAACCCGAAACTCCGAGAGTCCAATAAGAGGACAGAGCCTCTACAGAAGACTCCTGTTTCCTTTAAACCTCACCTAAACCCTTAAGTTATTAAACCAAGCCTTAAGCTAAAAACCCACCGAACCCTAAACCTTAAGCCAAGCCTCAAACCAAACCCTACAAACCCAAGACTCTCAACCTTACCACCAAAAAAGAGCCTCAAGCCCAAATCTTAAACCCTAAGCCCTAAACCGCAAAACCTCAAAAGCCCAAAAGGAGGGAGCTTGGAGCCAAAAAAACCCTAAGCAAACAGCCTCAAGCGCAAGCCAAATCTTCAAGAGCAGGACCCTAAACCCTAAACCCCTAAACCCTAAACCCTAAGCCCTAAAACCCTACACCCTAAACCCCTAAACCGCTAAACCCTAAAACCCTAAACCCCTAAACCCGAAACCCTAAACCCCACACTCTAAATCCCTAAACCCAAAACCCCTTGGAGCCTAGGCGGCCCTCCTCCATCGAGGCTCTTCGGATCCACGCGAACGCCTCGTCCTCGCGCTCTCGGAGAGCTTGGCTTTATTTTTAAAGGAAACTACAGGTGGGGAGTTTAGGGTATATAGGGCTTCTATAAGGCTTCTATAAGGTATATATTGAACCATTCCTGCGTGTAAGAAGCATTACACACTCAGCACGTCAGAAACCTGGTTCGGGTGCCGGCTGGGGGGCCGGCAACGGGTGGGTCAGACCCCCGGCAAACCCTGCGTCTGTTCCTGGGCAAACCTGTGTCAGAAGTGGGGTCAGACCCCCGGCAAACCCTGCGTCTGTTGCTGGGAAAACCTGTGTCAGGAATGGGTCAGGCCCCCGGCAAACCCTGCGTCTGTTGCTGGGAAAACCTGTGTCAGAAATCGTTCTGAAGCTGGGAGAAATCATGGCAAAGCCTGCGTCAAGAGTCTGTCTCAAGCCGGGACATGCCCGGAAAAAACTGCTTCCAAAACAAATGTCATGGTGGATGAAGCCATGACAAAACCTGTGGCAAAACCCAACATGATCCTAGTCAAACCCCTCTGCGACAGCTCGCACTGCTGACGCCAAATGCAGCCTAATTCAATATAAGGCTCCGGGAGGCTCCGGGTTTTTGGCTTGGACGTAGGCTTGGATTAGATTGACTTCTGGGTTTCTTGGACCTAGACACCTGGACTCCAGTCCATCCTAGTTGTAGCCCTTACACCATGCAGCAGTCGCTGTTGTTCGATGACGTCCGAAGCGAAATCCAAAAGCAAAAATGCTCGGGGCCCGGGTGAGCACAGGCTCAGAAACCTTGAATCACAGAATCATGCTGAACAACAAGGCCTCAAACTCTAGAAGCTGAAGGTGGTAATTAGAGGCTCACCCCACTTCGCTTGAAAGGAGTTGGAAACGACAAAAATGCAGCACCCTTCGCTCGCCATTGTCAATGCATGACGGCGTCGGCGCAGCGCACCACAGTACGAATTAGTACGAAGGCACTGCACGCATGCACGCAGTACCACAGATGTGAATCGATATGAAAAGGCTACGGCGTCATACAATCTAGTTTTCGACCACTACACAGAGGACACACACACACACACCCCAATCAATCATAATCTATAAGGCCGCCCGTGCGGATCACACGGCGTTACCCATGATAGTATGACGCAAGCGCACCGGGGGGTGAGCGGCTCAGTCATCGGAGCAATCCATTTCCTCCGAATCTGACGAGTTCCAGTCGCTTTCACGCTGCAAAGCTCGTGGTTGCCCTGGCCCGGGGAGCTGCCGGCGGAAGTCACGATGGCATATGCGCAGATTGCCATGAAGCAACACCTGAGCGGAGGGCTGGCTCAACCATATCATATCGATATCATATCGAGGCTCCGAGGCTCCAGTCTAGGGTCACAGGAAATGCATCGCCCAGCAGCTGCGAGCATGCAGGCCCCAACCGCAGGAACGGCCATCGTGTTGCCTGCAAGAGACACTCACGAAAGCACAAAGACTGAGACTGCGACTAGAAATAGCAAGTAGCACTAGCACTGGCAGCACTATACCGTAGCACTACAGTGGTAGGCAGTGGTAGGCATACGGCATACGTGCAAGCACGAAACACAAACCACGTGCACTGCGCACTATTTCCATTGATTTGTCTGCCCCTCTGGTCACATCCACCTGTCACCTGTGCATTGCACAGCTGAAGCAAAATCGCGTCGCACAGCGCTGCAGGCCGTTCAGTCTTCCCATAGAGCATTAAAGTTTGATGGAAACATATGAGATTATCGGAGTACTGGCATTGGACTACGGACTACTGCAAATGCTGCTTACTCAGAAGCAAACATCGCTGCACCTTTGACAGAGCCGGGCCGTTTATTGTATTTAGATCTTGATCTTATGGGCTATGGGCCTGGGGTCTTGCGGTTTAGGGTTCAGGGCTCAGGGTTTAGGGCTTTTAGGGTTTACGCTCTCACAACTGGGACTAGCCGGGCGAGGGCTTTTAGGGTTTAGGTTTTAGGGTTAAGTTATAGTCACAGTTAAAGTTAAAGTCAAAGTAGTTCATACTACTATAATATAATATAGTAGTTAGTTAGTTAGTTAAAGTTAGTTAAGTTAGGTAGTTAGTTTTGACGTTGACGTTACTGACTATTGACTTTTTTGAGAGGATAGTGCCAGTGCCATATAGCAAGACCGGCCAGCAAAACCTACCGGCGACTCATTGGCCTCTTGTGTGGTCCGCCCGGCTCACGGAAGGCTGGAACTGAATCACGAAGCCATCTTCATCATCGCTCTCTGGGCCACCTCCAAACCGGAGGTCCATGTCTTCGCCAAACGTCATGAAGACGGGTCCATCGCCATCATCATCATCATCAGGCAGTGTGAAAGATCGGCCTGAGCCTTCCACAACGCGAGTGCCGCCTGGCCCGCCAAGCACCACTGTTGTGACCATGGACCTCAACTCCGGATCTTGGATGTCATGTTCGTGTGCTTCGGCAGGCGGCGGCTCTTCGCCTTCATCCGTCGGCGGCATCATTGCATGTGCCCAAATGTCGTTGTTCATCTGCTCCACCATGGAAGCACACTGGGCGCAACGCTCGTCCGTCATGCCCGTTGACTTCTTCGGGTTCTTCTGCTTCTTCTGGCTCTGAGCTTTGCCGTGGGCCTTCGCTTTGGCTGCGGCCTTCGGCACAGGCTGCGCTGACGAACTGCTGGCACTGCTGCGGTTCATGGCTCTCCGAGGAGTCCCGGGAAGACTGATTGAGGACTCAGGACAGCAATCAACTCACTTCGAGGGCCCAAAGCGCTGCGCCAGAAAGCCCAGATTGACTGCTGCAGCTGTAACACGCAAAGCAGGCCGACGCAGACCGAACAGACAAAGCAACGGAGAGGAAACGAAAACGTAATTAAACCAGGTACTCAGGCTGGCTGCCTGACAGATATGACAAACCGGACTCAGCTGAAGAAAGCCTTTTCTTTTGGTCTACTGACTGACTGAATGACTGACTGACCAAACTGACCAAACTGTGTGACACAGATCATTCAGACAATCGGAACTCGACTCTCTTATGACTTATGTAACTGTAAACTACCGTCACGACCGCAGCCACATCACTGTCACCTGTCACATCACTCATCCCACACACCATTACAAGTTACAAGTTAATTACAAGCCACAGCCCGACTGGCCTGCGATCAACGACCAGAAGGAGAGCGGGCGGGATTTAAACGGGGTCACCTCCATCTCGTCCACGGGAAAGGCATGTGTAGCCAACATGCACAGTCCGCCCAAGGAGCGATGGCTTCGGTAATTCCACAGTCTGGAATTCGTGGTCATCCTGGGCACGGGCCAACGACTGCACGACGTAATACAGGCTACACTGCCGAATTACTGCAACCCAAACAAGGTACGTGGGGACACGTCCGTCCGAGCGATGGGGAGCCCGGTGGGCCGATTTGGAGATGTCGGCAACGAGCGAGTCCACGTCCAAACCTTTGGCCTTCATGGGGACACTACAGTACATGAGATATATGGTCCATTATATGGTGTTCATGGTAATCGGAGTAATCGGTGATCAATGATAATTTCATGATAAATGATAAATGATAATTGATAATGATAAAACCATGGCCATGGCTGCGTTGATTGTATGATTCTGATTAATTCTGATTCATTTTGATTCTGTAACTCTGTATGATGATCTGTTAAATGGCTGAATTAAATTGTGAAATTAATCAATACATGCACCTGAATCTGGATCTGAATATAAGATGACCGACCCATAGGTTAGACGACCACGAACCCTGCATTAACTTTAATCAACTTAAATCACTCAAAACCCATATGACTGCGAACCATGCCCTCGATAAGCGCCTTGGCCGCATCGTACACAAAGTTCAAAGTGTCGATTTGGCACGCAGTTAAGCGCTTCCTCCATTCGAAGCTGCCCGTCTCACGGGTAGCCTTCTCGGAATACCTGCCAAAGCTGAGCTAGCAACAATAGTTTGTCAAATCACTTCAGGAACGCCAACCAATGATGGAGCAAAGCCACTCTCGTGTGTCTGGGATGTTGTGCCGCAACCGGCGCGACTGCATCTCCGCCCTTTCGCCAACCTCGTCTTCAGGACTTGGCCCCCAGTCCTGCAAACCGCATCACGTATGCTGTATGCTGTATGCCGTATGCAGCTGTCACACACTCTCTTGGCATCTTGATGCCCTGCACTGGCACTTCTGCGAGAAAAAATCATTTTCTCACTTCTGCTTCTGCTGTAGTCTAGTCTGCTCACTTGTGCATCGAAAGCATCATGCATTGAAGTTCAAGAGAGTCGAAGGTGCACGATCGCCGCGAGCTAATTAAGCCGGCAACGTTCCGAGTGACGAGCTTGTGGCTCATTGCCGTACGGAAGAAAAACAATCCGGCACTTGGCACGAACTGATAAACCCACTGCCTTGAAGATTCCGTTCGCAGCGATTCTGATTCTGCTTTGAATGCACCACTGACTACAGCCGACAGCGCTACAATCTAGGCCTAGGCAGACGCGCAACGAATTCTAATTTCTGAGAAACGTCGTCTACAACCCACAATGTATCATAACACAGCACAGAAACATACGACGGAGGGCTGAACAGATCGCACCCGAGGAGTCGCGGCCCTGTCAAGGGTGCCACAACTCTTGTGGTTGAGTGACTGGCTGCATGCCGGGCGTATGGTAGTGACCATCGGGTGCGGCACGCGCTTCATTTGCAATTCGCCATCACAACGAATTTAGTCGATTACAGCACACTGCTAGGCTGAGTTAGGCTGCTAGGCTGCTAGGCTACACTACTGGGACTCACTCTGCTCAGTAAGCAACTGACGGGGCACCCGATCGAGGAGTCGCGGAGCTGTCAAGCGTGCCGCAACTCTTGTGTAAGAGTGACTGGCTGCAGACCGAGTTCATGCGTAGTGGTCGTGGGGTGCCACAGCTGCTTCATTAGCTGGGCCACACTCGATTTAATTGGCTATTGGCTACAATACAACAGTACACTGTAGACCGTAGACTATGGCTGGGACTCTGGGACTCATTCTATTCAGTAATGAAGCAGTGGGCCACGTGAGCTCTTAGATGGAAAATATGCTGCACCGCTCTCCTCCTGTCGCGACGCGACGAGTGCGAAGACTCAGAACGTCAAGGCATCCATCAAGTTTCCGGGCTTGCAACACATGTCACAGGCCTGTCAGTCTATAACATGCGACTATGGCCTACGACTACATAAACGGCTCGAAACTCCCTATAGCCGGAGGCCAGCCCCAAATGCTTGAAACCCAAGAGCAAAATATGAAAACACATAACTTATAACATACAAATTTAAGTTGTAACTAACGACTAAAGACACTGACACTAACTATAAGACTAGACTGACTAGACTATAACAGACTATCAATTATAATATGACTCAGGCTATGACTCTGACTCTGACTCATGACTAAGACTAAAACTAAGACGATGACTCTGACTATGACTCTGACTCTGACTATGAGACTATATGACTCTAGACTCTAGACTCTATCATAGACTCTGTCTCTGACTCTGACTAGGATAGGCGACTCTGACTCAACATGAGAACTGGATTTCATACTGACCGGAGCGCACATGTTGCAGCCGGTTGTCAGGCCTCAGGCCTTGTCGCTGCGTTTCACGGATGGGCTGGCTGGGGCAGGAGGGGGCGGCATCCTGGCCTTATCCTTAGCTCGCGCCTCATCCTTTGAGGTCTTTGCCAAGGAATCGAGTTTCTCCTTCACGGAGTTCGGCAAGTCCTCCTTCTTCAGCTGGAAGTCGTCATACACCAACTTGTAAATGTCATTGAGGCCCCGCTGGATTTGGGGAGGCGTCGGGTTCTTGTCGACGAAAGATAAGCAAAACTCAGAAGCACACATCGTGAACATCGCCACGCCGCCTTTGGCCTTTGCCGGAGGCTGCGTGAGCCGTGTCTTTGCCTCCGCGATCCTCGTTCCGATGTCCTCCAACTTCAAGCCATCCAACATGGCCTTGGCATTCCAGAGAGCCTTGCACTTCTTCTCGGTGCTTGCAAGGGCAAGGAGTCCTGAGCGGCGCAAGCAAAAACAGAACAGGCAGGAGTGAGGAGTCGGGAGGCTTAGGGCCTTTGGCTTATGGCAACTTATGGCATAATGGCATGGTCAGTATTATTATTATTATTATATTATTATTATTATATTATTCTATTATTATATTATATTATATAGCCCAGTACAGCAATACGCAATACAACCCAATAATGACGACGACTATAATCGGAATCGGAACAATAGGCAATACTAGGCAATAGGCTGTTGGCTGTATAGTCTACAAAGTAACTACAAGTTCTAGCTTGCAGTTAAAAGTCAGAAGAGTCCGAACGTCTATCGGCTTATGAGGTTAAGCAACCGTAGCAACTGCAATGATGGCCGATAGTAGTCCTTTGTGGAACTTGCTAATCTGCTCTTGTGCGCTCGGCCCGTGGATAAACTCCTTGAGCGCTTGGGGGTCAAAGTCCTTTTCCGGGATCAGGAAGGCAGCGGGGCAAAGGGCCTCATAGCGCTGGATCATTTCCACGCCTTCGTTCACGGCAGAGCAGACTGCATCGACGGTGCCCTGCAGGCCGGCCATCATTTCACGAGTTCTCTCATTGAACTTGTCGGCATCAAGTCCCAGCCCATGCACGGACGACGTGGCGACACTCAGAGCCTGCACTGTGTCTGACAACCCAGTACTGATGAAGGATGCTGACTCCGTGGACCAATCAGCCTCGGGCATGCATCAAGCAAGTTTGCAGTTTGCAGTTTGCTTGTGTTTGCGGAAGGCAAATATCAAATATCAACAACTAGTTACCAGTTGCGAGTTACTAGTGTGCAGCAACCAACGCAGAGGCAGCAAATTGATTCTGACGCACCCCTCCAGAAACCTTCTTCTGGTACACGCTGTCATCCGCCATTACCTTCTGGTACACTTCAACATGTGTCCAAAGAGTCTGCGCGGACTTGGGGAGCATGCTTTTGACGGATGCGCTGAGGACGAGAGCGCCACTTGTACTCTTGACAAGCTCTTTCAACCATCTTTCGAGGAAGTCACTCGTGCTCTTGGCCGCAGCGACTGCCGCCTTCAAGAAACCGGCAAACGCCTTTCGCCAGGCCTGCTCGTCTTCACCTCCTTCGGGCCGGACAAGGTCGCCCTACCCTCCAGAAACCGTTAGCAATTTGCTACCCTTAATTTCACATTGCCCGGCCGCACCTGCTTGCGCAAGCTCCTCGATCTTTTCGCACCACGTGCTCACCACCTCGACGGTCACACCAGAGAAGATCTTGTGCACCCCTTTCACAGCCCGCTCGAAGCTGGGTGGCTCCAACTTCAAGTCTGCGGCTCGAACAAGCTTGTGTGCCTCAAGCATGTCAAGCAACATCGTCTGAAGAGCAGCTCGCTCAGCTTCCGGGACCAGAGCTTGACTCCAGGAGTCCTACTGGGATGAAAACTAAGTCCATATAAGTCTATAACTAGTCAATGTCTATGACTTAACTATAACGACTATGACTATAACTATAACTATGACTATGACTATAACGACTATAACTTATAACTTGACAAGAACGACTATAAGATATATATTATATAATTATTATATAATTATATAAGTCTATAGTCGTCTATAAGCGTAACAAAGCTCTTGTAAACGACTTCTAACTTCTAACCTACACTCAGTTTGCCTTAGTCCTTGCCTCCACCACTTGGCGATGGCCAAGAACATGGCAACCCGCTGCAGCCGGACGTCCGCATCAAGGTCTCGGGAGAACATGTCTGTGACATCCTCTTCCAACTTCTTCAGGTAAGCAGTGCCTCGGGCCTGCAGAAGTACCTTGACGGCTGCCCGGGTGTCGTTGAGAGCCATGGAATCATCAGATGCGGAGTCGCCCAAGACGCCTGGCAAAGCGTCAGCTGTCTGCAGCATGTCCAACGCTTTCTGCACCAATTCGCCATGGTGGGTAACCACGTTGACAACGGATCGCACATCATCCGTGTTCTGCAGCAAGGGACTCAGGGCCTCTGCAGCAGTCCGAAGATTGCCTGCGACAGTACTGATCAAGTTGGTTACGACGTCCTTGCTCACAGCCTTGTCTGCAGCAGCCTTCAAGGCGCCAAGATGTTTTTTCCCTGCAGGAGTGCTCTTCACGAGGGAGGCAAAGCGTCCAGAGAGGGAGGACTTCGCCTTGTGGGCCTTGGCCGCCAATGCGGCAGCCTTGGGACTTGGATTTGCATCCCACTCCCGCACGAGGTACTTCAGGAATGTCATGTCATTCTTCACGATGGCGCACCAGCCATCGCTGCCCAACAGCGGGACACCAGGGCTCAGCTCCGTCATCTCAACCTCCGGCACTGGGCTCCTCATAGTCATAGTCAGAGTCATAGACTCATAGACTCATAGTCATAGTCGTAGAGTCATCGTCTCAGTCATAGTCAGAGTCATAGTCATAGTCATAGAGTCATAGAGTCATAGACACAGACAGTAGACATAGACTCACCCATAGACTGATAGACTGATAGACTCATAGAACTCATAGACTCAAAGAGTCATAGTGAGTCAAGCTTTTAAAAAAATTCAGTCATTTATTATTATTATTATTGCAGAATATAATATAGGCAATGGCAAGGGCCAAGGGCATAGGCTGCAGAGGCATAAGCGGCACTGGCCATAGGAGGGATCATCGAGATCATACTGTCCATGAGCCGCATGAGCCCTTAACGACTTCACCTTTCTAATTCGAACTTATATGGATACTGTATACTGGATACTGGATACAGTATTAATCAATGTAGTAGCTTTCAGTTATCATTCCGTGAGATAAAGTTAGTAATTAGTAAGTTAGTAGTTTTGTAGTTAGCTAGTAGTAAGTAGTAGTAAACAATAGTAAGGAGTCAGGAGTAAGGAGGGAGTAAAGAATGTATCGTATTAGTTCAGTGTCGCAGCTAACCGCAAATGGCCGCAACCACAACAGGACGAACTGACAAAGCTGGATAAGCCGCTCACATTGTTGCAATCTCCATGAGTCTTTCGGTGGCGTTCTT